GCACGTCACACCTCTGTTTATCAGTTTGCACTGGCTACCAATAGCTGCTCGCATAAAATTCAAGGCATTAATGTTTGCCTACAAAACCACCAATGGCTCTGCACCCCTTTACCTAAATTCATTACTTCAGACTTATGTGCCCTCTAGAAGCTTGCGTTCTGCAAGTGAACGGCACTTTATTGTGCTATCCCAAAGAGGCACAAAATAACTTTCTCTGACTTTTAAATTATATGTTCCCTCCTAGTGGAATGACCTGCCCAACTCAGTCCTTAGCCATCTTCAAGAATTGGCTAAAAACACATCTCTTCCATATTTATTTGACCCTCTAACTCTAGCACTCTCTATTCTAACTCTATTCTTTATTTTTTTTTAAAAACTTGCCCCTTTTAGACTTTATTTACTATCTGCTTGTTTTCTTTAAAAAAAAACTAACACTTGCTTCTCTAATCTTTTTGCATTCTATTGGTTTTCTTTTTATTAATTATGCAATTACAATTCTGACTTACTGACTTCTGACTAACAAAACCAAAAAAGGCCTCTAACACTAGCTTGCTCTATTCTATCTGTTTTCTTTTTATTTATTATATGATTTGAAAAAAAACCTTGCTACGTGTACTGCATTAAGCTAACTGAGACTTGTTATAGCACTTGCATATCATTGCTCTTTTGTTGATTTTGATTGCTTCCATTGTCCTCATTTGTAAGTGGCTTTGGATAAAAGCGCCTGCTAAATGTCTAAATGTAAATGTAATGTAAATGTAAATAAGCATAGTATTGATAATATTAGTACTATTTATTTAGTATCTTATCGGTCTGTTTACCTGTCTGTTTTGTCAGATCTTATCTTGGTGTTTACCGGCTACATTTGTTATTATTAATCTATGTACTTTACTGGAACTGTGACCTTTTATTTTTTCTATTCAACAAATACTGTTTTTTGTTTTCTTTAATAGTTTCAGTCATCTTGGAATATCTAAAGATACAAAAAGTGAAACTTTTTCCTAATATTAGGGAACCACACATAACTTCTGCTGAATTCCATAATTCAGCAAAAGCTTAATGTTTCCTCCTCATCAAGTTTGTCTTATCTAGTATTTTGCCTTATTCAACACATTTGACATGCAGCATTTTAGAAAAAAGCAGACTCGAACTTGGGGTGGTCGTGTCAAAAGCTGAATCCCTGGTGCTGATTCTCAGTGTCACTATTCCAGTAGTTTGACCAGATTTTGTTGGTTATATTAGTATATACAGCCTTTTCCAACAAGTTGTGACCCTGGACCACAAAACCAGTTTTAAGTAGCACGGGTGTATTTGTAGCAATAGCCAACAATACATTGTATGGGTCAAAATTATTGATTTTCCTTTTATGCCAGAAATAATTAGGATATTAAGTAAAGATCATGTTCCATGAATATATGAAGATACATTTCCTACCGTAATAGAAACTTAATTTTTGATTAGTAATATGCATTGCTAAGACTTCATTTGGACAACTGTAAAGGGGTCATATGATGTTGCTAAAAAGAACATTATTTGGTGTATTTGGTGTAATGCAATGTGTTTGTGCGGTTTAAGGTTAAAAAAACACATTATTTTCCACATACTGTACATTTTTGTTGCTCATTTATGCCTAGCCTTTCTGATATGTATCGATTTTTACAAAGCTCATCGTTCTGAAAAGCGAGGTGTATGCTGATTGGCCAGCTATCCAGTGCGTTGTGATTGGCAGAATACCTCAAGTGTGTGACGGAAATGTTACGCCCCTTACAATACTGTGATGCTGTGTCCCGGTGCGACGAGACAAAACCCTTAACAAATTAGGCATTTGTTGCATCCAGGGGACATAATTACGGATTTTAATGACTTATACTGTCTTTTTACGCGTTGTGTTGCATTTCACGCCGTGTCAACATAACACCATGTCTGCATTTGTGATCGGAGAAACGACAAACAACAAGCGCTACTCTACACTGCTCAAAACTCACATTTGAATCATCAGTGGCAAATTCTTTAAATATGAAAATGTACTTACAGGCTGCGAGTCAGAAGCACCAGACTGTCCTTGCAAAGTTGGTATTGCCCCACTTTATAGAAACAACCTTTGAGCACAGCCGGCATTGTAGGCTACTCTCCAAGGTTCAGGAAAGTCCTCCATAAAATGCGCTGCACACATCTGAATATTTGGGTTGAACTGTTCTGGAAAAATTTTGTAAATACAACTTAACCACTGATTTCTAGTTGTGTCCTTTTTTGGAAGACCAAACAAAGTATTTTCACTTTCACAACGAAACACACAGCGTCTCCATGACATGGCGGCGTCGGCAACAATACTACAGCGAGAATCAAAGTTACGCCTTCTTTCTTTGCATGAACATTTGGGCGGTGTTATGCAAATCTTCCCACACAGTGACGTAGACATGTGGGGGTGTTTAAATGAGGCGTTTTAGGAAGGCGTGGATGAGTCTTAACTTTTATAAAGAATATCTCTTTGGGTTTGAGACTTTAGTCTTTGCAACTTTATGGATCTTATCTATGCACGAACAGCTTGTAACCCCCCAAAGAGAAAGGAAAACTTGAAATTGCATCATATGACCCCTTTAAAGGCGATTTTCTCAATATTTTGATTTTTTTGTACCCTAAGATTCCAGATTTTCAAATAGTTGTATTTCGGCTAATATTGTCCTATCCTAACAAACCATACACTAATAGAAAGCTTATTTATTCAGCTTTCAGATGATGCATAATATGACTGTTCCGGTTTTATATGTGTGTATTTATATATACATAATAAATATACACAGTACACACACATATATTGCTGGGCAATGATTAATCGCGATTAATCGCATCCAAAATAAATGTTTTTGTGTACATAATATATGTGTGTATATGTGTAATATATGTGTGTGACCTGTGTATATTTATTGCATTATGTATATATACACCCACACACACATATATAATTCAGAAAGAATTCCGAACAATGAGTAACGTGATCAAATAGAGGCACACACTAATGCAGCAAACATGTCGGCAGTGTGAAAGTAATTAAAACTATCTGAGAACGATGCAGACATCATTACAAGCACGAAGCACCGACAGCGAGAGACTGTTTAGTGCTGCATCACATGTCTCCGATGAGAAGATTAGGTGGCTGATGCTGGCGCTTAGGCTACTGTACAAGGTTATTATAGTTTTGCATTTTTAAATTAGTTTTATTTTAATATCGTTTTCAAATTTGCAATAAAATTCAGTTTAGTTTTTATTAGTTTCATTAATAATTTTGTTAGTTTTAGTTTAGTTTTTATTTAGTGAAAACATTTCTATTGAGTTTTTATATAGTTTAGTTTCACTTTTAGTTTTAGTAATTAAAGTTTATTAGATTTAACAGATCACATCCAGAGCGCAGGCCAAAGTAAGACTTTGGCTAATTTAACCTTAGTGAAGCAAACGTCTAGCGACACAAAATTAAAGCATGTTGAGATTGATTAGATGGTAAAAGTATACAAATACACACCAAAATGAAGCAGTCATGCCTTTTTAAATCTACACAAGTTGCACTTACATTATATGTCAAACGCACTAGACTGAATGATAAATGTGTGTTGTGATATTTAATTAGAAAATACATGTAGCTAATTTCTTCATATTATAGCCTGTCTTTCATCTTATTTAACTATAACCATGATACCGTAACTGTCGTGTCTTGCTCACTTTCCCGTTTTAGTAATTAAAGTTTATTAGATTTAACAGATCACATCCAGAGCGCAGGCCAAAGTAAGACTTTGGCTAATTTAACCTTAGTGAAGCAAACGTCTAGCGACACAAAATTAAAGCATGTTGAGATTGATTAGATGGTAAAAGTATACAAATACACACCAAAATGAAGCAGTCATGCCTTTTTAAATCTACACAAGTTGCACTTACATTATATGTCAAACGCACTAGACTGAATGATAAATGTGTGTTGTGATATTTAATTTGAAAATAAATGTAGCTAATTTCTTTATATTATAGACTATGTCTTTCATCTTATTTAACTATAATCATGATAACATAACTGTCGTGTCTTGCTCACTTTCCCGTGAACAAACGCGCATAAATAAGTGCGACTAATGAAATTCAATAATAATGGCGGAGCCTCAACGGCCACATAGCCTATACACTGCATAGTTAAAGGGAGACAATGGCACTTAACAGTAAAGTCATATCTAAATATGTTCTTTTCATTTATGAAGATTTAAGTATGTAGTTAATGCACATTTGTTCAAAACAGCCTGGCAGATTGTTCACAAGATGTAGGCAAAAGTTTGTATTGTATACAATTTGTATTGTCACAGACTGATTGTCACAGCCTGACGCCGTGTTGCTTCAAAGCGCATCGTTCTGCACACCAGATGCGCACATTGTAAGCGCTTCGTGTTAAAAACTGCAAAGCACAAAAGGAAGAGAAATTGATGCGTAGTGTATTATATCTGTGCAACAGTTATTGGAGCCTTTCTTTTAACAGTTTTAAATTTCAGTTACTGTGTTCGTTAAAAACTATTTATAGTCTTTTTATAGTCAAGTAACAAAACAACATTAAACTCCGGCAAGAAGATAAAGTCCTTTTTTCAAAATCATAGACATGTATTTACAAATCAAGTATAATGGGAACACAGAATAATCTTGGAGACTGACTGCTGTAACCGAACGCGACCAGGGTTTAAAGGCTGAACGAATGACTGACAGCCACAGCGGAGAAAAGAGTTTGTGTGAATGTAAGGACATAAATATTCATATGTAGCTCACATTAAGCTATTGTATGGCTTCAGAAGTAACACAGAATAATTTGCACAATCGAGAAGAAAATAAAAAAATAAAATAAAATCTTGGATTTGGATCGTCCCTCTCTGACTGATACCCGATCTAAGAAAAATGGCACTATCGGAGGTGATACCCGATATGAATATCGGATCGGCGCATCCCTAGTAACTATGCCAGCCACAACCTCATCCATATTGCTATAAAATATAGAATCCCGTGTAGAATTCAAATCGCTCCGATATATTTTGTGGTCTGCGGCGACTGACACATGTGATCCGCTCCGTGCTATCGTGTCTCTGGACCAGAGTGTGTGTGCGGTGCGGTGGTTAGCGTGACAGTGCGAAACCAGACTTCTTTTTTTCCTCAATGGAAAGCATATTTACACTGTTTGAATTGTTCCCTGTCCCCTATATAGTGCACTACGTGCCATTCACTGTACAGAAAATACTAATTCTTTGGACAAGTGACCGATTTCAACCACGGCTTCAGCATTTATTTTATAGTGTAGGGGGCAGTCGCTTCGGATTCTAGAGAGCATTTGATTGGACAGAAAGTTTGATGAGAAGCTGAAGTACGATGTGACGTCAAAAAAATCATTGAGCCGTTTTGGCAGAGGTGATGAACTGCAAGCTTTGAATGCTTATATCTTCTAAAAGTGAATTTTGTCACTGTTTTGGAGCACACTGCCTTAAAGACTAACATATTGATACTAACACCCAAAAAACTTTAATTTTGATTTCATGGGGACTTTAATGTATCAATTAATAAAGCTAAGTTTGATTTTTGCATGTCTCGCCTGTTTAAAAGAGAGTCCTGATGCAGTTTGGGGCTCCAGTTGGTCTCTGCTGAAGTTAGTTGATGAGAAAGAACCAGTTTGAGTCAGAGGATCTTGTCAGAGGATCTTGATGAATGGAATGGAAGGACTAGCCTGGCACAAGCTTAGGGTGGTTTTTTGAGGACTCTTAGCTAAGCATCTTCTCCTGGAATTCCTGAATCTAAAAGAACCACCCTGATCTGGTGATCAGTGATCTATAAAGGGTGACGATGTCACACCCTCAGGATTTGAGTCAGCCAATGAGGAATGGTAGCTTTGGAGGGAAATTTTATGAGCTTTTGTCTCTAGCATGGTGTTTTGAATATGAAACTGGATTGGCTGGCGAAGAGGAGAATCTTCAAGATTCTTATAAAACAAATAGGAAACGTAATTTGGAGCTTTTAGATACCAAGCACGGCATATGTGCGATCTTGGTTAATTAAGTAATAATAGAACATCAGATGGTAGCCTGGGTAACAGCCCTCTTGGTGTGATAGTTGCACTTTTTTTGGGGATGGTCCTCGGAACTCAGAGTGGGTTTCAAAGATTATTTGTTAAATATAACAAATAATTTTGTTTCTACTTTGTCCAGTCGTTACATCAATATCGGTTGATCTCTCATATATAATTAAACTAACATTGGCATAGTAATAATCTGAAAGATTGTAGTTATATGATAGAAATTTTAACGTAGATTTTTTTATATACTGTATATTAATAAATTGCTGAATAAAACCAACCAGTAAATAGTCTTGAGTGACTGATATGACAACGTGTACACAGTTTAACCATGTCTTGTTTCAAAATGACAAGTTATGAACACATTCATTCCATTCACCACTTCTTTTTTTTAAGATATACAAGTACACTAATGGGTTTGATACATTTAACTTCAAATAGGGCCTTTCTATTACTGACAGTAAAGCAAGACTTGAACCTGGGTTTAGGACTCACCTCATTTAGTTCGTAGTTCCTCTGGGTTTCCAGCCCTGAGAAAAGCCCTCCAGTGCAATCCCTGCTGGGTGTCAAGGGCAAAGGAGAGGAGGAGCCACTGTGAACAGGAGTCTCTGGATAAGCAGTGGAGAAACATGCATGCAATTTCAAGATTTTATATATATATATATATATATATATATATATTGCTTTGTTTAGTTTTACAAGGCCACAAAAAATCTTAAATACAACCAGTAGTAATATGATTTAATGGCTTATCACGTTTGACCAAATTGATATTGTGTGTTCTGTCTGAGGTGATAATATATCAAAGCTTTGCAGAGATACAGCCTTAGACATAGACTGGCATCATGACTCAAATTTGTAGCGGTGCTGTACAAAAACAGTTTTGTCTATCAAAACGAAATCCATAACTTTTGTCAGCACAGTACACAAAGATGATCTGTTTTGATTTTGGTGAAACTCACACAATCTGTCCAGGAGGAGTTTGAAACAGTAGGCTTTCAACAAATCAAAATAGCATAAAACAAAATAGATAAATAAATCAAAATAGCAGACCAGTTAATGCGAACAGTTTCATTACAATAGGCTAATACACTCTAGTGGTCTAGTGACGCTGTGACCACATCAATTTTGGTCAAATTTGGTGAAAATTGGAACAACAGTCTAGGAGTTCGAAAAAGTAGGTTTTCAACATAAACCAAAATGGAGGACAGGAAGTTCAGCTGACTATGGCAAAATCAGTATCTACGCTTTTGGCATGACCCAAAGAATTTATTACGATGAGTTTCACTACAATAGGCCAATTTAATAAAAAGTTATTCGAATTTTTGGAAATTTCATTATAACTTTTTGCTCAAACTTTTTGAGTACCATCAGAGTACTGTGCTGAAGACACATACTGCTTTTTGTAATGATACACCAGTGCGTTCGTAAAATATAGCTTTTTATGACAAAATTCTAAATGGCTGCACAAAATGGCTGCCATGGGAAAATTGTGAATGGTTCGACTCTGTATGTATGTTGCACCGAATCTAAAGTGACCAGTTTTGTGATTTTGTTTTTGATTTGGGTTTTTGGCCAAACCATTTAGAAGTTATAAGCAAAAATATATATTTTTCATATTTCCCTGACCACTAGGTGGTGCTGCACTGAAACACAGAATGTATCCTCAGGTCATGTTTGTGATGACATGGACCAAGTTTGGACTGAATACGATAAAGTGTAGAGGAGATACAGTCTATTTTCACAAGTGCTACAGAAAATTTGTTGCCACATTTTTGAAAATGGTTTGACAAATTTACTTAAATTCCATAACTTTTCATAACTGCATTGTCTGAAGATGATCTGGCTCAATTTTCATGGAAATTGGAGCAATGGCCTAGGAGGAGATTGAAATTTCTATTTAATTCTAAATTTTCATAACAGAAAATGACATCACATACTGCAATCGAATCGGCTAAGGAATCCCACATGAAAAAATACTGTAGTAAATTATAGAATACTGTAGTATTAACTAGGGATGTTTATTTTAACCGGTTAACTGTTAACAGACCGTAAGAATTTTTGACTGATTAATACAATCAGTTAAATGATTTAAAAAGGAATTTAAATTTTTTTTTCAGTAATTTATCAAAATATTTAAAAAGGTTTGCTGCATGGTTAAAATACGCTATGCGTATATAAAAAAAATAGTTTTTTAGAAGAAAAAAAACGCAAGTCGAGTATAGGCCTAGTGAGTCGTGTTTTATTATTTCTTTCAGAAATAGGCCTAATGCCAACGCGAAATGTCTACAAACATTTTTATAAACACTAGGGCTGTGTGATATTGAAGAAAAATGTGATATGCGATAACTCATTAAATAATGCGAGATTCGATATGCGATACGATAATGCTTAAAGTGCCACAGGCTCAGATGAAACAGTTTTACTCAGCTGTTGCTGAGTCAGTTCTGTGAACTTCTATAACTATCTTGTGTCATATATATATGGTTATTTGTATGTATGTATGTATGTATATGTATCAAGAAGAACTCCTGTAAAACCACAACAAATTCCTTGTGTTTGCGCACACTTAAGCTCATTCTGATTCTAATATTACTAGCAAACATGTTTCCCTTTTTGTGAGAAGAAAGCACCCCTACAACAACTTCTGAAAGTGAATGTTAGTGTTTTACTCGAGCATTACATAAAAATTTCATTTTAACATTAGTGTAATCATTTTAACATGAGTTTAGGAACTGAATAATAAAAAGGAAAAATACAACACTGCTTAGTATTTACTCTATGAATTCAATATGCACTGATTCTTATTTAAGCTACAAAAGATATTGCAATATTGTCAAATATTGCAAGCCGTAGCGATATGCATATTGCGATATGTACATTTGCGATATTTCGATATATTGCACAGCCCTATTAAACACTGTAAACATAGCTAGGCTATTTTAGTTCCCCTCACTCCACAGCAAATAATTTCAATTAACAGTATTTAGAAAAGAACAATAATTAAAAATATAAGAAGCTATAGCAATATAAACGACAATCCAAAACAAAACTGAAACCAATGTTGGGTCTCTCATTTGACAAAAAATCTAATGTTTCCGTATTCGCAATGTATTTAAATGCCAAAATATTATTTATTTAGTAGCCAACTTCACTGGCGTTCCAACATCCACGTAAAACAAAATGTTTTGCATAACATCACGGCGGTACTGTGACGCTTAACGGCACAGATTTACTACATATTTAAACTGAGCAGTGTGTTTATTTCCATATGTTTGACTGACTATTTTATTATGATAATGAACAGGCTGCATTGTCAAGGTGCGCGCATGCGGCACCGACGCAATCACTTGAATTTTTTCCTTCTAACAGTGGAAGAAACTACTCCTTTTAGTCATAAAGATATAAAAACAAATTGTAAAAGGTTTGCTTTTATTTGTGTACATTCACAATAAAAACAAATCTTTGTGCTTTTGTAAAATAAGCCTAAAGAAAAATAGGATGTCGCTTTCTGTCATCTGTTTCCTTTCGTTTGTCGTCTGTTTCACCTTATATGAGAGAAACTCTACATACTAGGATACTTGTTGCAGGTTTTCTTTCGTTTTCCTAATTTATTAATGCAAAATTAATCCCCGGGAAACAAATGTTAGTATTTTTTTACGGGTCACAGACACTTATCCTTTCTAATTTAATTCAATTCTAATTTAAAATAATCTTGTCGGTTAACGGTTAATAATTGGTTAAGGAGCGTCAGTTGTCGGTTAGGAAAAATAACCGAAATGAACATCCCTAGTATTAACTATAGTGAGTTTGTAACTGTGGTAAAATTACGTTTTTACTATAGTAATACTGTAGTATATTATAGTATTTACTACAGTTTATTAATGTATACTATGTCATAATGTATATTAACTACAATGATAATCAGTGAGTTACTATAGGATACCATAAGAAAATACAGGTACATCTCAAAAAATTTGAATATCATGAAAAGGGTCAATATTTTTTGTGACTCATTTCAGAAAGTGAAACCCATATATTATATAGATTCATTACACAGAGTGAAATATTTCAAGCCTTTATTTCTTGAAATTTTGATGATTATGGCTTACAAATAATGAAAACCCAAAATTCAGTGTCTCAGAAAATTAGAATATTACATAACATCAATAAAAAAAGGATATTTTAAACAGAAATGTCAGGCTTCTGAAAAGTTTGTTCATTTCTATGCACTCAATACTTGGTTGGGCCTCCTTTTGCATGAATTACTGCATCAATGCGGCCAATCAGCACTTGGCCGCATCAGTGCAATCAGCCTATGGCACTGCTCGGGTGTAATGGAAGCCCAGGTTGCTTTGATAGCAGCCTTCAGGTCATCTACATTGTTGGGTCTGGTGTCTCTCATCTTCCTCTTGACAATACCCCATAGATTCTCTATGGGGTTCAGGTCAGGCGAGTTTGCTAGCCAATCAAGCACAGTAACTCCATGGTCATTGAACCAACTTTTTGCATTGAACCCACCTTTGGCAGTGTGGGCAGGTGCCAAGTCCTGCTGGAAAATGAAATCAGTATCTCCATAAAGCTTGTCAGCAGAAGGAAGCATGAAGTGCTCTAAAATTTCCTGGTAGATGGCTGCGCTGACTGTGGACTTCAGAAAACACAGTGGACCAACACCAGCAGATGACATGGCAGCCCAAATCATCACTGACTGTGGAAACTTCACACTGGACTTCAAGCAACATGGTTTCTGTGCCTCTCCGCTCTTCCTCCAGACTCTGGGACCTTGATTTCCAAATGAAATGCAAAATGTACTTTCATCTGAAAAGAGGACTTTGGACCACTGAGCAACAGTCCAGTTCTTTTTCTCCACAGCCCAGGTAAGACGGTTCTGACGTTGTATCTGGTTCAGGAGTAGCTTGACACGAGGAATGCGACATTTGTAGCCCATGTCTAGGATTCGTCTAAATAAAGGCTTAAAATATTTCACTCTATGTGTAACGAATCTATATAACATATGGGTTTCACTTTCTGAAATGAGTGACAAAAAATATTTACCTTTTTCATGATATTCAATTTTTTTTTTAGATGTACCTGTATATAGTGTGTTCAGTGCTCATAAATGGTGCTCTGCTCTCTGTACTTTTCGGAACTGGTACAAATAGATATCATTTGTATCGTCAACTAAAGGATATTTTGTAAGGCAAACAATAATTTAGTTTTTTTTTTTTTCCTTACAATACTTTAACTACATGACACAATTCTCAGCGCTACTGACACACGTGAACTATGTGACGTTTCACAGCGCTTCGCGCCAGTAGCGCGGTCTTCAGCAAACACATTTTAAGACAACATTGGAAGCAAAAGTTTAATTACTGTCAAATTCGTCCTGTTATTTTATTACTGGTGAGATTGGGGATCTCTCATGGTTACAAGGAACGCCAAATTACCCTTTCCAAATGGGTGTATTGAATCAACCAAACGAAGACCACACTTCCCAGCGAAGATATTGGCAGTGGTAAGTTAAGTCTCTTATTAACCTTGTCAGTTCACTTACTATCGCATGAATTATCGGTTTAAATAAGTGTAGTATATTATTTAAAGGTCCCCT